TCTAGTTCAGCATCTTGTTTCCAAATCTTTCTGGGATGCACAGACTCAAATAGGGTTGCCAGGTCCCCCCCGGCCATCAGTGGGAGATGGAGGGATAGGGTTGGGAAAGTCATGGAAATTTGGGGGTGGACAGGGACTTCAGTGGGGTACAATCCATTTTCTCCAGCTGAACTGATCTCTGTAGTTTGGAGATCAGCTGTAATTCCAAAGGCTCTCCAGACCCCACCTGGAGGCTGGCATCCATAGACGCAGAGTATGAAGGCAACAGCTGCAGGATGACAATACTAGCCAAAGCCGTTGCACAGTTTGCCTTCAGAATAAGCTGGAAAAGGTAAAAGATTAATGAGCATGGAATGGTGATAGAAATGGGTCTTGAGTGCAAAAATTCCTGGGGAGGAATTCTGGCTTAGATCCATATAAAAGGGGAGTTGGACAATTTATGGAGAACGGGCCTCGTTGGCTAATAGACATAACTAAATAGGTCTTCTGAGTTCAGAGGCAGAATTGCGAGGTGTCAGTAAACAGTCAGCAGGTAAGGGCCATCCTCTGTGACTCCGCTGTGGGAACTTCGCTGTGGCAACTGCCTCGTTGCTACCGTAACACTGAGGCAGGGCTAGACGGACCGTTGTCTGATCCAGCAGGGCTACGTTTACGGCTAAATTAACAGCAAATTGGCATAGGCTTCCTTGGCTCTTATGACAGGTAAAAATGGGACCTTCACCTTCAGAGGCGATATCATTTGTTTATTAGTCCCGTCCCAGTATGTGATACTAATCAGGGCTCGAAGCACCCCTGCGTAAATGGTGACGGGGGTGACTCTCTGAGCCAGCAAGCCAAAGTTTAACATTCTGCTGCACAGCAACGCTCTGTCTCCAGAAAACACGGAGGCACCGTGCACCCTACCAGAAAGTATATCCACTCAAGTATCCGTCTGCTCACTTGCGCCATTCCGCCCGCAACGAGACTACAATAGTCACAAACTCGCCTCACTCGTGGATTTTGGGAAGTGGCGTCATCTGCTACGCCGGAAAGGGAACAATAAGGGCATGTAGAGTACGCGGCCATTTTTCTTGTGGGAACGAAAACAAACTCCAAGCTACCTGTCCGTTCCCACCAGGTTTTCTGGTTTAAAACAGTCAGACCCCGCCGTATGACGCCTTGAAAGTGACTCCCAGTAAATGTTACGGTCGCTGGAAGCAGCGTTGGTCCAAAGCAAAATCCAAGAAAATACTGTTTTTCTGTCTTCCTTTGGATGGTCCTAATTAAAAAAAGAGCGTGTACCCTATTGTGGAAATCTTTGGCCGAGTGAGGAGAGTCATGCCCAGTGAATGCATTGGGACCTTCTTTCTAGCAAACCTCCATCAGGCTCGGCTGCGGGGCTAAACTACGCCGTCGCTAATGTCCGATGCGTACCGACCCCTAACTCCTAAGCAATGCCGCGAGGGCTATACCATGTCGCCTTCCCTCTCCAAGGCTTCCTGCACTCGTTTAATTATAAGGCACTCACATGAAACACACTGATGCTCCCCTGGAGCACGGGTCCAGTACACGGGCTTGCGAGTTTCCAGGGTACCTCGATGCAAAAATCCCTTTTTTATGTAGGGCGTACTAAAACTAAGGACAGCGAGGTCATTTTGGCTCCCCCAGCTCTCCTTGGGGGCTCTTTAAAAAGTTATGGCCGCCGGCAGCTGCAATGGCCGTGGCGCGGCTGCTGCGGCGGTGGGGGACGAAACGTGCTGGCCGTGGATTCGTAGGGGCAAATTCCACCTCTCGCGTGTGATGTCCGAGGAAAGAGAACGGTGTTCACGCATACAGTTCTTTTAGCCTTTAAAGCACCACTAGACTTCCGGAGCTTTTTTCGGGGGCAGCATCTACATGCGGCTTTAATATCTGAGGTTCAACGCACGTCTGCCTCGTGGAGAGCCACAAGTGGGTTGTAGCACGCGAAAACTTACACCGGGATGAATGTGTTCTCGCTTTTACGGCGCAACAAAACTCCTTGAGCCCCTGACGTTTTATAAACTGGGGGGGGGGGGGGGCCGGCTTTTTATTTGATGACGGTAGTGGAGGCGGGGGGAATGACGTCACTGCCAGGGGCTGGATTTCGGAGGAAATGTGCCTATAGTAATATGTGTGGGGGTTGTGCGGGTGTTCTTTTTAACCTGCTAACCCGGAACGCCATTCTTCGCTATGGGTTCTGTATCCGGCTCGACCGGGGCAGGGCAGGAACGGCGGCAGCCGTCGTTATTGTTCGGTGTGTTGGCGAACGTCAATGTGTGAACCGAGGGAGCTGCGCACCCGAGCCGTTGGCTCCAACGGCCGCCGGCGCCAGCGATCTAAACCGGTGAGTGGTTTACGTTTATTTGTGAGGGAGAGTGATCGTTAGAACTTTGGGTCATCCGGGGTCTTTTCCGCGGCGTCGGCGTCTGTCTTCTTCCCATTTTTCGCCCCTCGAGCCTCGGCTTCTGCTGGGGAAGGCCGGCGCGAGCTCGGCGCTCGTGTGTGATTGATCGGTCCCTCTTGCTCCGCCGCTCGAGGCCTGGATCCGAGTCCCTCGCTTTCTTTCTTCCCCTCCCTCTCCCTGGTGGAATTTGGTAGGTTGTCGCCCGCCGGCCATTCTCTGCTCGCGCTGGAGGGAGACGCACCGCGGTGCTAAAGAATCTGCTCATGGGCTAGCAGTGCTCCAGGATTCTGCTCTTAGTTTGAAAAGCCGCTTTCAGTAGGCAGCGTGGAAGGGCTGGCTGGGGTTACCTCCTCTTTGTGGGGTGGGGGACAAAATGGCACTCTGCACCAGCTCAGAGGCAGGATTGTGAGAATTGCTGGAGAGTGATGGGGGGGGGATGTAGTCGCTTGTCTGACACAGTGCCATGGGTCGGGGGCTCCAGAAACTGTAATCAGAGCCCTGCTTAGTTCTTTGGGTAACCTTGGGCTACTCAAGCACTTAACAGCTAAACTGAATTCACTGGGTTGTTGTGAAGGTAGACAGAGGAGAAACCATGTATATATAATTTTGTGTATATAATTCACAACATAGGGATAAACCAAGGGGAAACCATGCTTCTTGGAAGAAAGGTGGGATAAATATTCCTTTTCTTAGGGGAGGCAGTCCTTCCCCCTCCAGTATGGTTAGGAGGTGTTACCTGTTTCTGAATTTTTGCTTTATTTGGAGGATTGTGTCACATAACTTATGTTAACCTGTAGCAACAGTCCTGTAAGGTAAGTCAGTAGTGCAGGTGGACGTTTGCTTGATGGTGAGAGAGTGTGGCGTCTCAGGTGAGTTAATTTTTTTAAAAAATGTTCAGGTCACATATATTTTCTTGCTGGGTGTCCCCAGGGTTCAGGGCCAGCACTTGTTTTAAATGCTTAGTTCTGAAATATTTGCAATAACAGGACGCTGTAACCAACGCTGTAAGCTGCAGTGAGCCCGCTCGCAGGGTATAAATCAAAATAATAAATAAATAAATTGTGTGCAGATTGAATATCGCTCTTTTACTGCTGAAGTGAGGTTTACTTCTGAGGTTTGGGTGGAAGGGCTTCTGGATCACATCTTGTGTTTTCTCTGACTGGCATTGGTGTACAGTTCTTGCTTTAGAAATGAGTGGCTGATTATCCCACTATACTGTAAAGGAGATTATAGAAAAATGCTCATCCACTGAGATTCATTAAAAGTTTGGAAATGTATTTAGTCTTGCAACTGATTTAAACAGGAAATACAGTCCTTTCCTGTAAAGTTGAACTAGATGCAAGTCAATCGAAAGTCTTCCTTATGCATAAGTTGTCAAGGAACTCATGAGTCCCAGAAAGAAAGGACTTGGGTTTCAGACAGGGAGCACATGCCCTATGAATGAAAAGTTCACTTTTGGTCTGGGCATCAGTATGGAGAAGACCTGAATCTCTTGTTGGAAGTACTTCTAGTTAAGTGGCCATGCCACTTGCCTGACCACGTTCCAAGAACATTTAGCCATAATGAATGACATTGCTAGATTATTGACCACTTCTAGTTGCTCAGAAGTAGCTCCACTGAGTTTAAGAGGTTTACTTCTAAACAAGTATGTCTAGCATAAATCACTTCCCTCTTAGTCCAAAGCACATTTGGTCAAAATTTCTGTTGATATTGGTGTAACTTAGTGACCAAAGAAGTATGCTGAGAATGGCACCCTTAACCATTCAGACATGCATATTTTCCTGAGGGGGGGGCAGTACAGAGTGGAACTTGTGACTTAAATTAGCTGGCACTTGTGTAATCTTTCTAGCTGTAGGGAAAAGATAAAATAGCACTGGTTTTGAACAGCAACAGTTGATGTCAAATATACATTGACGATAACTTCTTTTTCATTTGCAGAATATGGCACCAGCATCAGATGACTTTGGATCAGATGGCTTTTCGCCAAATGCTGGTACAGACAGACTGCATCAGGCAATGGCAACAGATACATCTCCAGACTCTAAATGTCCCATATGCTTGGACAGATTTGAAAATGTGGCCTACTTGAACCGTTGTTACCACAGATTCTGCTTTCGATGTGTGCAGGAGTGGTCCAAAAACAAAGCAGAATGCCCACTCTGCAAGCAGCCTTTTCACTCTATCATCCATAGTATGCGGTCTGATGACGACTTTAAGGAATATATTGTACGGCCTTCAGAGAATGGATCTTTTGCTAGTCCAAATGGGAGACGATTCCGTTACAGGACTACATTAACAAGGGAACGGCGTACATCAGTTTTTCCACGAAGAAATTCTTCATCACGAAGGATAGCATCTCCTCCAGACAATGGTATATTGTTTGAAAGCTTGTCGAGTCAACCACCAAGGCGCAGAGATGCAGAAATGCACCGGATGATGAGACGTCTTTCATCACTGCGACAGGCTAGCTTGGAAGGTAGATCTATGCGACAGATTCAAGAACAGGAGATTATTAACTTTCGAAGGGCTCTGTATCGCTCTGGTATACGTGTCAGAAACATTGAAGATGGAGGTCGTTATAGAGACATATCTGCTGAATTTTTTCGCAGGAATCCTGCCTGCCTTCACAGGCTGGTTCCATGGTTAAAGCGTGAGTTGACAGTCCTATTTGGTGCTCATGGTTCCTTAGTCAATATTGTACAACATATCATCATGAGCAATGTGACTAGATATGATGTGGAGAGCCAGGCATTTCTTGCTGATCTAAAACCTTTCTTACTGGATCGCACAGAACACTTTTTACATGAGTTCATTAGCTTTGCACGATGCCCTTTTAACATAGATGCCTATGATCAGCATGCAAACTATGATTGTCCTGCTCCATCGTATGAAGAAGGAAGCCGCTCCGATTCCTCCATCATTACAATCTCCCCAGATGAAGCGGATTCCCGAGACCCAGAACGTAATGCCTTCACAACTGGAATTGGCCAGGCACCCTGGGATGATGAAACACCAGGCCCCTCATACTCCAGTGCAGCAGAGCAAGTTAGTGCTTCTGTATCAGCCACCTTGGACACTTCAGAAAGCTCCGATGAAGAACCCTTGGCCAATGTATCTGAGTCACAAATGCAGTTGCCCGCTAGTGTGGAGACAAATGGCGACAGTGATGGCGCCTCTGATAACTGTGTTATCGTTGGCTACGTGAAGCCGCTAGCAGAGAGAACACCTGAACTTGTTGAGTTGTCTTCAGACTCTGAGGGATCAGTTGATGATGGTAAAAGTGAAGATGTGAACAAAGTGCAGCCTATCCAGTATCACAGTTTCAGTGATACCGATGCCAGTGGGTATGCATCGCCCTACTCTTTTGGGTCTAGGGACGACAGATCCAGTTTTAAGGGCAATATATCCCTCCCAAATAAGCTGAAATCCAAAAGGCATGAAAAGGAGAAAGCTAAAACAAGGGAGTCTGCTCCCAGGAATTGGCTGCAAAGATCTGCTGCAAAAAGAGGTGGAGGTGATGACAATGATGACTATGGATTATCCAAAAGGAGGAAATCTGAATCCTATTCGCGACATTCTTACAGCAGAGAACACCGTAGCATGAAAAGTAAGAGAAAGCATCGCAGTGTGGAAAAACGGAAAAGGAGACGGGATTACAGCAGGCATAAGCACAGGAGAGATAAGAAGAAGTCGCGAGATGAGAGTGTGTCCCGAAACAGCCAAGCGCTCTCTCTAAGTAGTGACAGCATTGTATCCCGAGATCTAAGCCGATCCAGATCCCGAAGCAACGACTATAGGAGAAGACGATCAAAAAGCAAGGACAGTGACTATTACCTAAGAGACAGTTACCAAAGCAGGTACAAATGGGAATATACTTTTTATAGAACAAGCACAGGCCGGGATGGTTATGAGTACAGGAGGCAGACTCAGACCAGAGCTCACTATTCAAGGCAGTCTTCTAGCCCAGACTACAAAGTTCAGTCTTTCTCTGAATAGACAGATAGTTGAAGTCTTAGAGGCCATAGTGAAAACAAGCCAGTCAGCCTAATGTTTGTCCCGGGCAAATTAGTAGAAACTGTAATTAAAGGTAGTTGTTAGGCACACAGAGGGAGAAAGCCTGTTGAGGGAAAATCACCATGGCTTCTGCAAAGGGAAGTCCTACCTCACCAACCCTTTTGGAGTTCTTTGAGAAAATGAACAAGTATGTAGACAACAGTGACCCCGTAGACATTATAGACTTGGACCTTCAAAAGGCTCTTGACAAAGTAACTCGCCAAAGACTCCTGGGTAAACTTAGCAGTCATGGGATAAGAGGACAGGTTCTCTTATGATTCAAAACTGGTTAAATGACAGGAAGCAAAGAGTAGGAATCAATGGACAGTTCTCACAGTGGAGGGAAGTAAGCAGTGGGGTCCCACAAGGATCAGTATTGGGGCCGGTACTATTTAATTTATTCATAAATGATCTGGAACTAGGGGTTAGTAGTGTAGGGCCAAGTGTGCAGATGACATGAAATTACACACGATGGTGAAAACCAAGGCTGGCCATGAAGAGCTACCTCCACAAACCGGGTGAGTGGGTGACAATGTGGCAAATAAAGTTCAATGTTGGTAAGTGTAAGGTGATGCACATTGGGACAAAAAAAATCCCAACTTCCAAGTATAGCCTAATGGGGTCTGAACTTCCTGAGACTGAAAAAGATCTCGGGGTCATAGTCAGTGTTCCCTCTAAGCTGAGTTAGTGTGAGCTAGCTCACAGTTTTTTAGCCTCCGGCTCGCACATTTTTGTCTTAGCTCAGGAAGGAGGGCTCCAGAGCAAACTAATTTATGCAGTAGCCAAATTGCTCGCTCACAACTTTAATGCCAGCAGCTCGCAAAGCGGAATCCTTGCTCACAAGACTCCACAGCTTAGAGGGAACATTGGTCATAGTGGATGGTTCAAAGAAAATGTCAGTGCAGTGTGCTGCTGCGTTGAAAAAGGTAAACTCTATGTTAGGGATTATTAAGAAAGGGATTAAAAATAAAACAGCTGATATTGTAATGTCCCTCTATAGATCTGTGGTGTGGCCTCATTTGGAATACTGTGTTCAGTTCTGGTCACTGTACGTAAAAAAGGGTATTGCAGAGGTGGGAAAAGTACAGAGGAGGGCAACCAAGAAGTCTTGGGGTTGGAGCACCTTCCCTATGAGGAAAGGCTGAAGAGTCTGGGACTTTTCAGTTTAAAAAAGAGATGACTAAGGGGGGGACGGGACATGATAGAGGTTTATAAATTATGTATGGGGTGGAGAGAGTTGACAAGGAGAAATTGTTCTTCCTCTCCCAAAATACTAGAACAATAGGTTCATGAAGGAAATACTTCTTTACACAGAGAATGATTAAAATGTGGAACTTGCTGCTAAAAGATGTAGTGATGGCCATAGGGATAAACAGCTTTAAAAGGGGATTAGATAGATTCATGGAGGAAAAGTGGTACTAGCCATGATGACTGAGGGGAACCTCCACATTCGGAGGCACTAAACCTCTGGATCCCATCAGGGGAAGGTTTCAGCCTCTAGGCCCTATTTTTGGCCCTCTAGAGGAAATGGTTGGCTGCTGTGTGAGACAGGATGCTGGACTAGATCGACTGCCGGTCTGATCCAGCAGGGCTCTTCTTATGTTCTCACGTTCTTATGTATGTTCTTATGTTCAGATATTACTACTATGAAAGGCGCAGGTCAAGAAGCCGATCCAGCAGCAGATCTAGGACTCCTTCTATGGGGTCAGAGAGAATCCGATCCGAAAAGCCCAGTGGCAAAAGGAAGTATAAGACTCGCCATTTAGAGAGTGCTCACAGAGGCAGCGAAGAAACCTCTTCTACTAAAGAACGAAATGTCCTTCAGGAGCCTTTGCCGAAATGCAAGAACGGTTACAAAAGAAAAGATAGCTTTTCAGACGTTCAGCTGGACCCGGAGAGCCACCCCAAAAAGAGGAGGAAAAGGTCAAGAAGCCCAAGTGTGGAAATCATTTATGAAGGGAAAGCCACTGATGCTAGGCATCATAAGAAGAAAAGGAAAAGGGGGAAGAGATCGCACAAAAGCCACAAAAGCTGCTCTACATTTTCTTCACCTGTTGTCATTACAATTGACAGTGACAGTGGCAAGGAGCCTGAAAACCAGGGGAATACGGAGTATGATAGCAGCTTTTCCTGGAGTCCCATAGTGCCACAAAACGAGAGGGATACAGAGTCTCTATGCTCCCTCTTGGAAAACCGAGACTGCAGGTTTGATGGAACTGATGAATCAGAAAGTATAGACAAGGACAGTAATGTTCCCGCCACTGCAGGAGATACACGAGATGAGATTCTAGATGGAGTTTTACAGCTCCAGGATACCCCCAATGGACATACATCTGATGTGTCAGATGATCGGTCTTTTGACACAGGGAGTCAACCTCGCAATGTAGAAGCTGAGTTATCAAACCAGTTGCAATCTGTCAGAACGTCTTTGCTATTAAGACTTTCAAAGAAACTGCTTGAACATTCACGTGCTCGGGACTCACCAGACCAGAAAGTATAACTTTGTACATAATTGTTTTTAAACAAAAAAGCAGCGGGGACTCTTTCAATTAGATTTTTCCAAAAAGCAAAAACTAAAACAAAAACCACACTCTTGTGGTTTGTTTGCTAAAGTTTATGAAATTACTTCTGTGCGAAGTATCTCTCATCCTTGAATTTTTGCACTTAAATCCATGAATGTTGCTTGCAGTTTTTGAACTACATGTTAAACAATTTCCTGTGTCACAAAACAATACTGTAATATTCCTCTGTAATATAGATCCCCTGATATGTCACTGTTTTTAAAATTGTAAAGTTAGGACATAATTTTGATGGTTGCATTTTTTATTCATGTAAAGGAAAAAAAGAAATTCAGGTTTCATTTTGCCATAGCCTTGATTTATATAGGTTACTTTGCTCTGGGCCAGTAAGGATCCATGACTGCTGTAAATATATCGGTTCAGACTGCTAGTTAAAAATACAGATTTCACAAGAGTTTCAATAAAGATTTTCCTGAAATGTGCTTTAGATCAAAGTAATAGCTTTGTTTCCTGTGCAGCGCTTGCTTTTTCAGTTTCTGAAATGTCATTGCATAGAGTGCTATTGCAAAAGAAATTTTGCTGATTAATTTAAAAACAAAAACACTGGATTATTGGGTAATTCTAGTTATAATTAGTTTTCAGTAGTGGGATGTCGACAAATAGTAGAAATTTAGAGATGTGTGGGTGGATTGAAGGACTGCCACCCCTGGGAACCTGTGTGGCTGTCATGTCAGACGCTGGAATCTATATGTGATCCCACGCTCTTTCCGTGAGGGCATATGCTGTGAGGTTTATCCCGATCTCGTGCACCTATGGCTTTAATACTTGACTCAGCCTTTTAAAAACTACTGTGGTACAGCCCTGACCTGGATAGCCCAGGCAAGCCCAAGCTTGGAGGTTAAGCAGGGCTGACCCTGGCAAGTACTTGGAAGGAAGACCACCAACGAATACCAGGGGTGGGACACAAAGGCAGACAATATCAAGCTACCTCTCTGAAACATCCTAGCCCCACTCGGTGTCACCAGAAGTCAGCATGATTTCCAGGCACACAAGCACACACACAAATACAAAAAAAACCAAACCCCTACTGTGGTACTAATTGTGCATAAAACTTTGCATCGGCATGAGTAGAATGGAGTCATGGCACCTGTACCCCATGGATCTCACCGTTTTTAAGGATCCACAACACTTTTTTTGTTTTTATTGCAACAGACTAACATGGATTCCCCCTGGAGTTTGCATCAATATGAGGTAGTTCTACAAAGAACATAAGAACATAAGAGACGCCAATGTTGGATCAGGCCAAAGGCCCATCCAGTCCAACACTCTGTGTCACACAGTGGCCAGAAATACCAGTGCCATCAGGAGGTCCAGCAGTGGGGCCAGGACATTAGAAGCCCTCCCACTGTTGACCCCCCCCAAGCACCAAGAAGACAGAGCATCACTTGCCCCAGAGCCCCTAGCTATACCTTGTGGCTAATAGCCACTGATGGACCTCTGCTCCATATGCTTATCTAATTCCCTTTTGAAGCCGTCCATGCTTGTAGCACCCACCACTTCCTGTGGCAGTGAATTCCAAGTGTTAATCACTCTTTGGGTGAAGAAGGACGTCCTTAAAGAGCCCTAAGCGCTTTAACCTTTCCTCATAGGGAAAGTGTTCCAACCCTTTTATCATTCGAGTTGCCCTTTTCTGCACTTTTTCCAAAGCTATAATATCCTTTTTAAGGTGTGGTGCCCAGAACTGCACACAGTATTCCAAATGAGGTCTCACCATTGATTTATATAGGGGCATTATTATATTGGCTGATCTGTTTTCAATACCCTTCCTAATAATCCCCAGCATAGCATTGGCCTTCTTTATTGCAGTCACACACTGTCTCGACATTTTCAGTGAGTTATCCACTACAACTCCAAGATCTCTCTCTTGCTCAGTCTCTGCCAGTTCAGACCCCATCAATGTGTATTTATATTTAGGATTTTTGGCTCCAATGTGCATCACCTTGCACTTGGCCACATTGAACCCCATTTGCCATGTTGACGCCCACTCGCCCATCCTTGACAGATCCCCTTGGAGTGCCTCACAATCCTCACTGGTTTTCACCACCCTGAACAACTTTGTATCATCCGCAAATTTAGCCACTTCACTGCTTACTCCCATCTCCAAATCATTTATGAACAAGTTAAAAAGCAGTGGACCAAGTACTGATCCCTGCGGTACCCCACTGCTTACCACCCTCCACTGAGAAAATTTCCCACCTACACTCACTCTCTGTTTTCTATGAACTAGCCAGTTTTTGATCCATAAAAGAACTTGTCCTTCTATCCCATGATTTTTGAGCTTACTTAGGAGCCTTTGATGAGGAACTTTATCAAAAGCTTTCTGGAAGTCAAGGTAAATAATATCTATTGGATCCCCCTTGTCCACATGTTTGTTCACCCCCTCAAAGAACACTAACAGGTTAGTGAGACAAGATCTTCCCTTACAGAAACCGTGCTGAGTCTGCCTCAATAGGTTTTGTTCATCTATGTGCCTACTAATTCTTTCCTTAATAATGGTTTCCACCAATTTACCCGGTATTGACGTCAGACTGACTGGCCTGTAATTTCCCGGATCTCCTCTGGAACCCTTTTTAAAGATGGGAGTGACATTAGCTACCTTCCAATCCTCAGGAATGGAGGCAGATTTTAAGGAAAGATTACATATCTTTGTCAGGAGATCTACAAGTTCACATTTGAGTTCTTTCAGAACTCTCGGATGTATGCCATCTGGGCCTGGTGATTTTTCAGTTTTTAAGTTGTCTATCAGTTTTAGGACCTCCTCTCTCGTCACCTCAATCTGACTCAGGTCTTCAGAATATCTCCACCATGAATGAATTCTGCCCTTTTAGCCGTTTATATGCTTTTGGGTGTGCTCATCTTTGGAAGCCGTATATTGCGCTGTATCTTTTGCCGCTCAGCCTAATACCTATCGACCTGTGTTGCATTCAGTGGGACATGCTGCCTGCCAAGTATACTTGGGGTTCTGGGTCTGGGGTCATTTTATAACCCGCTCAAATGCCTTCAGTGCAAAATGAATCTTGGTTGGTGACTTATTATTGGGTAGCTCATTGCTGAGTGAAATCGAGATGAGTAGCAGTGCTATGATGCCTTCGAGACATATACTTGAGCTGATGGTTAGGGTATGGCTCAGTTCAGACATTGCACAAAAAAACTAGGATTTATTTTGACTTTGGTTAATATGATTGTCTGAATACAGGCCTGTCCACTAACTAAGCTTGGTTAGCATCATCAAACCAGGATCTCACCTTGGTTGATTAACAGCACAATGTATAAAAGCAGGCATTTTGGCTTAATTTAATTGTGATGTCACTACAGGGCTACAGAGAGAAGGGAATGAAGCCACCATTTGTAGGCAAGCCATGGTTTGGATGGCCACCTGCCACAATCTAACCATAGGTTAAAATAAACTGACTCAGTGTGATATCTGAACTGAACCCACGTATAAGAATTGTATTCATATGTTCCCGGTTTACTTGTTTTGGCTTGCGTTGCTTGAGACTTCAGTTCTCCCTGAATAGCAGACTTTATTTTCTACCGTACACTAGCCTTTGTGTGTGAGTGTATATGGCTCCCACTTGTTGGTTTGCTTCAAGCAGCAGGATGCACAACTTCACTGTAATGTAGTTCTTTGTCAATACATTTTGGCAGGGCTATTTTTGGGCAGGAACGGAGTTCCAGCTGGCTCCCAAATTGGCCATGCCCAGCAGGAACTCATTAGCATAATAGGCCACACCCAACAGCAGAAACTCATTAGGATTGGCTACAATTAGGGGTGTGTGGCCTAACATGCAAAGGAGTTCCTGCTCCAAAAAAAAGCCCTGGGTTTTGTCAACGAACAAGGTAAAGAGAATAAGAAGCAAAAGGTGGGTATGGCTGGATGACCACACTTCTGGTAACAGGGCCTAACATGCGAATGAGCTGTGCTGTCAGGGGTGTGGACTAATATGCTAATGAGTTCCTGCTGTTGGGTATGGTCTATTATACTAATGAGTTCCTGCTGGGCTTTTTCTATAAAAAAAGCCCTGCATTTTCGCCTTTTTCCTATTGGGAAATTGAAATACTGAAGCCTGATAAAGGGCCAATATTAAAAACCTAGTGCAAGCTTATTATATGCAAAAATACATGTATTAGAAAGACAGTTAAAAACATATAAGAGCCCAATAAAAGCCTCATTACAAAGTGGAAGTGGCCTGAACACAAAGGCCAATAAAAGTGACCTGACTCATGTCTGCCCATTAGGGGCCTTCTTCAGAGGTCAAACAATTTGAGGTACAGATAGACATGTTACAGTGTTACATATTAGAATGAAATAACCAAAAAGGTAATACTGGACCAAAAAAGGGAAGCTGTAGGAAAGAAAATTGAATATGAATAATCAAATAATTTTTTTTTTTACTTGCGGTGTGGTAAAATGGCTATATTACCGACTTAAGCAGCAAGATTAATCGACACAAGACAAGGATGTTGATAAGGCCTCTGAAGAGGAGAGTCCTGTGTCTTGTGCCAAATGCAAAGCTGTTGAATTAGAACATCTAAAAAAATAAAATATATTTTAAAAGCTAGTACAGTAAATAGAAGTCAATATAGTAACTGAAACTGAAAAATCAATAATGTAAAAATGACCTTCTGGTCCAGAAAATACCTATGTGACTATTTAATCAGAGCTGGAATGTCATCAACAAAAAGCATTGCTATTGAGCAGGTGTGGTTAACTTTTATAGTTTGATGCTGGATGGTACAATCCTAGTAAAATGCTTAGTCATGGCTGATGCCGTCTCAAAGGAATGCTTAGTCATGGTTACACATAGGCTCACTAGTAGTGTGGTAGTAGATACAGACATTAAATCTATTTGAACATTAAATCAATTTAACACAGGATCAGCAAAACAAATATTAAACTGTCATAGATACACACTACTTACCAGTAGTCCACTTGTTCATTCAAGGCATAGGGAGTTAAATATTGAAGAGCATGAATCCAAAATAGTTATTTGGCCTTCAAACGCTCAATAAGCTGGAAATTACCAGCCCAGACTTGTTCCAATGCCAAGAAGAGAAGGTCTCTGCTGCTGTGGCCAACTGCTGTAAAATGATTCACCAATGGAGCATTCTTTTCAGATAGATGCAGCTTTTATACTCCCCTATCCTTATCTTAGCTGCGGTGGCTCAAGTGGTTAAGACGCTGAACTGCAGGCTGTGGAAGGTCGGTAGTTCAGCAGTTCGAGATCCGAGTGTGCTGCATGACGGAATGAGCTCCCGTCTCTAGTTCCAGCTCCTGCCAACCTAGCAGTTCGAAAGCAAGAAATTGCAAGTAGATAAATAGGTACCACTTCAGTGGGA